CTCAGGACGAGGACGCCCGCGGCCCGGAAGGAGCAGAGGCAGGGTTCTGGGTCGGGCCCGGTCTTCCAGGTGCCTGGGGGTATGGGCGGGCGGAGGGTCCGTGCTGCAAGCAGTGGCTGATTCTCCCCAGGCAGGGACATCTGGATGGGTCCTGAATGGTCCCCGACCCGCGGCCTGCTAGAGTGAGTCTCTCTGCCTGGCAGGCCTGGTGGTTTCTGCTCTGGATGCACTGAAGTATTAAGTGCTTTGGGGAGTGGGACAGGGAGCCCCTCATGCCCCGGGGGGGGGGGGGGGTGCAGCAGCTGCTGCCTATTCAAGGTCAGCTCCTGAGGTTTCCTTTTCATCACTGTGAAGGGAAGGTACGAGGACCCCACCATTCAGGACCCCAGATGGCCTCTAACTGTCCCCTGAGCAGCGTCTGGGGAGGGGTTAGAAAACAAAGATCAAAACACTGCAGTTTTCCTCCTGATATTTTAGGGCTTGTGAGTTTCTTAAAACACAGAAAGGAGTGAAGGAGCTGGCTCCAAGGCACACGCCTACGGGCTCTGCCATGCGCCTGTGCAGAGGAGGGGGACGGTGTCCAGCTCAGCTCCTGGAGGTGCAGTGAGTTACTGCTGCAGCAAGTCACTGCCTCAGTCAGCAAGTGACTACTCCAGGAAGCTACTTCTTCAGTAAGTTGCTATTCTGCATTCCCGCTTTGACCATCCTTCAACAGTATACTAGGTTATCACGGTGTTAACAAGGAGGGCTCCCTCCTGCAGGCCACCCTCCCGGCCTCCCCTTCTCAAGGGATCATCAGAATTGATGCTAATTTATAATTTAGAAGCTTTTGGCTCATAGTTCTCATCCAGAATCTGACACTAAGTCATGTTGCTTTGATTGCTTAAACCCTGGCTGTGATTTTCTGATTGGTAAACTAGAGGTTTGTGCCACTTTGCCACAGAGGATGGCCGAGGGCCCCACGAGGCAGTTCTCTGCCTCTTAGTCCTATGGCTGCAGACTCCTCCCCCTCCCACCCTCCACACCCTTGTCCCTAGATCTGTTTCTCCCCCAGCCTCCCCTGTCTCACAAAGCAGCTGCTCCCGGCAGGAGCCTCTGACGCCTGTCCTCCTCCACAGCCACCCGTCCACTCTGCCTCCAAAGCCACCCAGAGGGTCCCATCGTCAGCCTTGTCGCTTCCCTGCCCAGGACTGCTGAGTGGCCCTGCTTTGTGTCCCAGCAGCTCACACTCGGTTGCTTCCTCAGGCAGGCCCATGACTCAAGGCCTGGCTCCTCCTCAGCCTGCAGGTGTCTCTGAAATGCCTCCTCCTCCAGGAAGCCCCCCTGCTCCCCATGGAACATTTCCTGTCTCTGCAGAGCAGGATCATGGTGCCGTTATATGGCTTATCTGCTCATTATCGGTCTCTCAATGCTGGATGTGTGACAACCACAGGGGCCGTCTGTTTTCTTCCTATCTTATTCTTGGATGATCTCAGCACAGAGCTGGCACTTAACACATCTGTTGAGTGAATGAAGGCAGCTCTTACAGAATGCAAAATAATAGATGTTTGAGGGGTTTCTAGAGAACTCTGGTTGTTATTCTGAAAGGAAATGATCTGAAAGCCACTTCCCACTGAAACTGAAAGTTTGTTTCCCTCCTGTCCAGTGGCTGCCAGCTCCCAGCCCTCCCTCCCTAGGGGCTCGGCAGTGGGCTGAGTCAGAACCACGAGGCCATTCACCAGCTGAAGCCAAGTAGAGATACAGAGAGCCACGTGAGAGAGGTTTGCTGCTGCTGAGCAGGGGTGGAGCCAGGTCAAAGGACTAGGTCAGAGGACTCAGACTCAAATAGAGGGTCCAGCAGCCCATAAGCCAGGGGCCTTTCCAGGCATCTCACAGTTGTGATCCATGGTTTTCAAACTCATCTGTGGGTCACTAGGTTAATCTAGGGGCTGGGGCCCACATTTCCACACTGTGAAACAGGAGTGCACAGAACACAGACAGCAGGCATCACTCATGACCTGAGAACGGTGCAGGGGTGGACGCAGAGGCAGGAGCTGATCGCTACCCAGAAAGCTATGTGGCACCGTGACTCCACTGACCAGTGCCATTAAAAACTCCTCTACGTTTTCTCACCAGGAGTTCATGCCTGCCCTTGAGACCTGAGGCTGGAGGGAGCCCCATCCGCTGCCTGCCTCATCCTGGTTCAGGGAACCATCTTTGCTTGGCTGTGAACTAAGGACCTCCATCTGCGACAGAGACAGGCTCCTCCGCCCGTGCATTGGGACCCTGCCTCCAAACCCCTCCCAACACCAGCCCCACCGCAGGTCCAGCTCTCTGCACCTGAGCACCTGGTTCTAACACAGCTCTCCAGATTTATTACCAAACATCCCTGTCTTTATCCCACCCTGCTTACACTCCAGACCCACAACATCTCCTGCAGCCTGGATACTTGCACACACAGGTGTCCTGCAGGCTCTGCTCAGTGTCACCTCCTGGGCAGCCCCGCCACCCTCCTCAGGCACATCTGGTGGCTGTTCTGAGTCCTGAGGCCACGTCTCAGGCCTGTCTTAACATCCTCTGCACTACATGCAACCATCAGTGCTGGCTTTCTCTCCACTCAGCAGCAGGGTCCCATGACAGGAACTGTTACCCACCCTTATCTCCCCAGGACCCAGCACACGTTCAGCATAAAGGAGCTTCTGAGCATGGGAAGAGCTCCTGCCTGAACACACGACACATGGCCATCTCAAAACTGAACCAGCTGTGTTTGCTAGTCCTGTCGGGCTCTCACATCCCCCACCCCGCTGATCGCAGTGTTTCATGTTCTGAGAGGCAGCCAGAGGAACCTCTGTGTCTGATCGCTTCCCTTTTGCTTCTAAAGCCTCACTATTTCTGGTGAAAGGAGCCTCCCACCCTGCTCAGGGAAGCTCGGGTGAAGCAGTAAAAAAAAAAACCCAAAACCCCAAAACCAAACAAAAACCCCAAAGTCCCAATAATTTGGAAAGTATTAATTTGTGTACTTGCAACTCAAATCTGGGCCAGTTCAGGAAGCATCAAATAGCCTTTCTTCTGAGAGGAGGAAGGTTCCTGGGGAATTAAACAGGCCAGTCCCCAGGGATGGGGCGGGGGGCGGCCGGCAGCCCTCCCTAGAGACCTTCCAGAGCAGGTACGCAGTTGAGGTCGCCAGGGCGACCAGCTGCCACGGGGCCTCAGGCGGGGTTTCAACGCAGCGCCCACCCACTAAGATGCCAACCTCAAAGTAGAACACTTCGTCAAACTGGGGGTTGTTGGTCCTCTTTTTCACTTTCGTCTTCTTCGCTTCCGATCTGTAATCAAGAGAGTGAGGATTAGGGCTAAAAGTAATGCTTGATTCCAAATCTCTTGGACTTAAAACTGAGCTATCAAGTGCACAAGTAACTTCCTGCCTTTATTTATCTTATAAATATTTCTGTTTGTCTCCAACTCCAGATGGTATGCAAATCAGGAGCCTTTATTAAGTCAAAACTACCCAGTGTGAAGAACATAACGGCTTCCTCCTTTACAAAGCCATTTTAGAGCAACAAAGGAAACAAAAGGGAGTCGGGATTACAGATTCCACCTCAAAGCGTGTCCTCCTGCGTGAGGCCTCAGCCTCGCGGTTTCAGAGCTGGATTTGGTAGCTCCTCCCCAGCCTCAGGAGCAGAACTGAGACCCCCCAGGGCAGAACGGCAGCCCACTTGCCTGAAGGGTCCCGCCAGCGTCACTGTGGCATAAGGGTCACACTGACCATTGACGATGGGGAGGCCTTGGCACTCGAGGATGCTGAGGAGGGAAGCAGAGAGACAGCGGTCAGGAGAGGGCCCAGGCCAGCCCCTTTGAGGCGAGCTCTGGAGTCTCCAGGAGGCTTGGGGGGAAGAGCATGGGTTCTGCTCCCTCCAGCAAACAGTAACAGACGACCGACACCAGCAGGGGCCGGGGCCGGGCAGTGGAGCTGCGTCCTGGAGGCAGCCTTGGCGAGGAGGGCCATGCAGCTCATGCCAGGTTCACCACAGCCGGCACCTGTGCTCCCCCGGCGGGCACAAGTGACTCGCTCACCTCCAACCGCCTTACGTCTTACAGCTAAGGAAACTGAGGCCTCGACATCTTAGGGGAATATACATCTCACAGGTGATGTCACAGCCCGTGCATGGCCTCCTTGCCATACCTGCCCCTCAGGAGTGTGATTTTACTTATTCGCTGATTACTGTCTGCAGGTGGGGCGCACTGCAATGCCTTGTGGTTTTCTGTAAATTCTGGACTGTGGTCACCTTGTCTGCTTACTCCATCAGGCCTGCCATCCCGGGGTCTTCTACCGACTGTTTTTCCTCCAGGTTATGGGTAACATTTTCCTGCCACTAGGGTGTCAGTTTTTGAGCAGATGCTGGACACTATGACCTTATGCTGAGGATCCAGATCTGGTGATTGTCCTGTAAAGGGCAAAGCTGCTGGGCTCTGTTCTGGAAGGCTGTTACGGCGCTTGTGGTTTGGGTCGATCATGTCACCTTCTTGTTTTAAGCTTTGCTGGGAAGGCGACCAGTGCTTTTGCTCTAGGGATAGTTTGGCCCTGACACAGAGATAGTGTGTCTGATGCCAAAGAAATACCACGGCTCTCCCTGGGCTGGGGGGTTCAGCTCTCCCGCCCGGCCCTGTGACGCCTCACTCTGTGTGTGTGCCTGCGGATTCAGAGTCCTCGAGCAGCTCTGTGAGGTAGCCCCCCAAGAACTCACCCCCAATGCCCTCAACCTCCCTGACTCCAGGCTTGGCTCCCCCCATCCGCCAGGCCCTGCGGGGGCTGCCCTGCTCAGAGTAGCAAACCTGCCTCCGGGCCGAGGCTGGGCTGCTGGAGGCTCATGTTGGCTCCCTACATTGAAGGTCCCAGAGCTCTGCCCGCACTGCCCAGTGTCTGAAATAGTTCATGTAAACAGTGTGCCCAGGTTTTAGTTATTTATGGGGACACTCTACCACAGTCAGAAGCCAAAGTCCTAGCCCAGTGTCCGACTGCTTCACTCTCTCCTTGCTGTTGGGAGCTGGAAGACAGCCAGGCCTCGTCCTCTGCGAGTGGACCACCCACACTGCTGCCGTTCCCGGGGGGACTCGGCTCCTTCCTCTGTGTCTGGGGCTCCACCATCATGCCAGAACGTTTCTGTGTGCGGGGTCAGTGCCCTCATCCTGCTCTGTTAGGGCCGGCCTGTGCCCTTCCCATGCTGGGGGCCTTTCTCTATTTCTGACAATGCTTCCAGAACTCCCATTGGATAAGGTTGGGCCTCATGGATTGATCCATTATTTCTATTAGCTTTATCCAGTATTTTTAATTCTTTCTCTTTTTCCTCTAATTTCTGGAATATTTCTGGTTTTCTCCAAGATTACTTCCTTGGTCTCTGGTTATCATTCTCCCTTCACTAACTCATCCACTAAACCAGTATTATTCATCTGTTAATACATCTGCTAAAGAAATGCTTGCCGAGCTCTTGTCATGTTTCAGGCGCTATTCCAGGAACGGGGACAGAGTGGCGGCCAGACCAAGTGGCCCCAGGAAGCTCACCTCTGCTTGGCTGGCACAGCAACAAAGAAGCAAGACAGGAAGTAACACGGGATTACCGTACATGGTGAGTGCAAGGAAGGGAACAAACTGGACACAGCCACAGAGAAGCACTGCGGTGGATCCCTCGGGTGACGGGGCCTGGGGAGGATGCAGCCCTCCAGACTGCGGCCTGAGGGCAGGGGTCGCCCTCTAAGAGGGGCTCCTGGGGCCGCTGTGAGATGGGAAGAGCTCAAGAGGTTTGGGGCAGAGCTGCACCCTCCCTGTCAAGAGGTCCAAGTCTCAGGCACACGTGTTCTGATGAGATTCAGCTGTGGATCAGGTCATCAGGAATAAGGCTCCAGTCGCAGGTGCATCCGCATTTTGGATACTCTGAGAGACAGCGGTTCTCACAGCCAGTGACTTGGATGGTATCGCTACGCATCTAACGGGAGGCAGTTCTCCTGGGTCTTGTTTCCTGAGAGAGGCTGCGGTCCCCAGAGAGCATGTGGAGGACCACGTGAGCCCCGCATTCACTCCTCCTCTCATAGAGACCAATCTGAGGAGCGCTCTGTTCCCTAATTCAAAACAAAGATTGGCTCCTGAGTGCAGCTATGTAAAGACATCTGGGAGCAGCACGAGAAGGTGGTGCCTGGCCATCTGGTGCACAAAAGGCACCACCGGGAATAAAAGCCATGCCGGCCCCTCGTCCTCCTTCCACGTGGGTGCGTCTTCACTAGCGTCCTGGACACACTGACTGCGCTGCCTGAGGTCACAGGAAGCCACGCTTTATTTACATGAACAGGCATGTTCACACTGTGCGTCTGTCTAGGACCTACTCTATGTAAAGCAAGTTCCATGAACACAGGCAAATCACAGACACGTGAAGAAAGGGACTGAAGTATCTGCCACGTTGGCCGTTCATGAGGAGCATCTTATGCCCTAAAAGAAAACTTAAAAACACACCAAGTGACATTAGTCTGGAATGTGGAGTACAAAACGTACAGTATTTTGCATTTTTTTTTAACATTCATCGGTTTTGATTGTCAACCTGCCCCTCACAACACCGTTATGCCTCATAGTTATAGCAACAGCCTGCAGCCAGGAAGTCATGTCCATTTTCCTTCCTTGACGTGGACAGCAGACCGGTGCCGTCACCTCCTGCCCCACCAGGAGCTGCATAGCCGGCTCTTGGGCGGGGCTGCAGAGGAAGTGCACTCGAGGACGGCAGGACCGCACTTGGGGCTGCAGTGGTCACCGTACCTGGACCGCCCCGTGCTCTGTACTGAGGGCTTGGCTTTGAAAGCTTTCCCTGACCTCAGAAAGTGAGGCTGCAGATCAACAGCCTGTCTGCTTTTCTTTTAGCACTAAATTTCCTAATGATGGAAAATAAGATCTTTACTGGGCTTGAGATCTTGTTGGACACCTCAACACAGGTCGTTTTTTGGCAGGGTGCCCCTGACTCTGCAGGGCCAGCGCTTCTGAGATGGTCTGGCCTGCAGGGTGACAGGGCTTGAGTGTAGGAACGGACAGGCGCCCTCACTTGCAACAAAGCAGGCGGGTGGTGGGTTCCAGGAGAAGGACCCTGCATCACAGGGACACGAAGGGGACGAAGGAAGGGTTGGGAAGCGCCCGCCGCTACGCCATCAAGGCCGAGCATGTGGCCAGAACGGCGCTGTGCACTCTTCCCGCTGTGTTTGCGTCCAAGGCCCAAACAGTCATTTATGAACAATTCATCTCACCCCTAGTGCAGACGCCAGTGACCTCAGGTCACCCCAGATCTCATATACCAAATTGCTAAGTCACCCGAGAGATGGTCAGCAGCCCCCTGGGCTTGACACCCTGGCCCAGCAGGAGCGTTGCTCTCCAGACATTTCCAACACTTTTCTCCACTGAAACCGAAAGTTTACAGACTTATGTGTTCGCTTCTGTCCCCCTGGAACCCGCAGGAACGTAAGCTCCAGAGGCTCAGCCTGTGTTAGGGGTCCATTAAGTATTTTTGAATAAATCAATAAGTTAATGACTGAATAAATGAGTAAGATGTGCGCCTGTCTTTGTTGGAAGTAAAAAAGAAACATGAAGTGGGGCCTCCAACCCCAAACTTGAAACCTAGTTGTGGAAAAAAGACATGAAAAGATGTCTGTCCAAGCAGGGGTGGCAGCTGCCAAGTGCACACTCAGAAGGCAACAGCGCAACCTGCCATGTGCTGTGCCTCAGTGTCCCCACAGGACGGGGGTGCTAAGAGCTTGACGGGAGGAGAGAGTGGGCCCAGTGTGCATGTGGAATAACGTACTAACACGGTAAACATCTATTAAATAAAAAATAACAAGCCTCAGAGAGCCTACAAATTATTGTCTCCATTCTATGAAGGAGAAAATGGAGACTCAGATTAACTTACTTTCCCAAGATCACAGGGCTGGGATTCAAGTCCAAGTCTGACTGTCCCCAAATCCCATGCTGTGCACAACACATGGGGCGGGGAGGACAGACAGACGGGTTGGGCCCTGAGAGATGCTGGTTCTCACCGTGAAGGCAATGCTGGGCCCTGGAGGAGGGAAAGGGAGGCAGGGCTGCCTGTGGCCTGGAGGGACCTGACTGGCAGGAGCTCTCCACACGGGTGGCTGGAGGCATCTGGGCTGTCCCTGCCCTGGAGGACATGGGCCCAGGTCAGAGCTTCTCCCCCACAAGACATCCTCCCCCAGACAAAAACATCCGCATCCCCTCCTCCTGAGAGCGGAGGACACCCTCTGTCTGGCCACAGGACACCGTGGTGCTTGCTCTTTGGGGCCTTCTCATCACTTCCCCTCCCTTCTCTGCCTGGGCTGTGGCCAGGGAGCGACTTCTGAGGCTGCAGCTTCCGATGGGGCCTGGGCACCTCCAGAGCTGGACGGTGTGGGGGGGGAATGTTAACCCCTGCCCTGCTCCCCCATCCTCCCTCCTCACAGCTCCCCAGGCAGCACCTCCCTGTCTGCGGCTCCCACAGGCCCTGCTCTCTCCTGGGCTGGGGGACCTGCCATTTCCCTGAACTCCACCCCTCCTTCCTGGTGGGATCCTGCGCCCCTGACCATGGCCCTCTGAGGGTGCATGTGTATGCTGCCGGGAAGAAGTAACTCTCTGCTTCACTGTCTGAGACATGGATAAGCCACCTGCTGGGTCACTCTGGGTAGGCACGGCTGGTGATGCTGGACTATGACTCTCACTTTACACTGGTGCTCTGTGCCTTGATGCCACCAGGTTCATTGACTCCCCACACCGTCTCCCAGAA